TTACCTGCTTCTTTTTTCCGATTTCTTCTTCTTCTTCTTCTTCTTATTATTATTATTAGTAGTAGTAGTAGTATTAGTAGTAGTAGTAGTAGCAGTAGTAGTTGTAGTAGTAGTATTTCTTCTATTTGTTTTCTTCTTTTGCTTTTTACTCACTTTTTCATTTTTATTCGCTGCTCGTCGTTGCCTTCTTTTTCTTTTTCTAATTATTATTATTATCCTTCTTCTTCTTCTTCTTCTTCTTCCTTCTTTTCTTCTTCTTCTTCTTCTTCTTCTCTTGGTTCTTGAAAACGAAGACAAACAAAACAGGAAACGGAAAAATATTTGTTTCGAAAAACAAATCGAATGTGGAGAGAAAGAATATGATTTTTATTTTGAATAATAAAAAAAGGAAAAAAATAACCATGGAAGCTGATAGGGGAAAGGTATTTTGCAGGGTGCTGCTTTTTACCTGAGGGACCTCATGCGGTATGGGATGGGGAATTGGCTGAATTAGACACACTGCCAATAAATAAAATAAATTATAATTAAAACACAAAGAAGAGAAAAATAACCTGTGTGTCATATTGTGCATCCAAGTGTGCCTCTGTATGTATGCATGCATACCAATATTTGAAGAGGCTAGAAAACGAGGAAATAACATGGAATGGGGGCGCGTAGAGATTTTTTTTTTTCGAAATGTCAAAGGGAAACAAATAAAAAAAAACAACGATTATTTATTGATTCGATTTTTCTCTGTTTTAATTTGATTTCTCGATGTCTTATTTTTTTTCGGAAAAGAAATCTCAAGTTGTATGTCTGAGTATTTGCAATCACATTCACAAATGGCTGAGGTAGTTTCGTCTATTCGAGCTCAGCTGAAAAGATTTTTGAAAGCTGATTATTATAACATTGTTCATTTATTTAAACATGAGTCTCCATTTCGAGAATTTGATAAGATACGATACGAAACATATTTGAACTACTAGGTAAGCTCAAATTAAATATGGAAGATATTCGATTAATCCGCTACATTTTACTTAGAATAAAACTATGAGAAGACATTGTAGACTCGTCCTATTTTCCTTACCTTTCAACCCTAGCAACAGAATAGTCTATATCATACGCCAACGTACGGAAAACTTCAACCAATTAAAACTGCACTAAGCGAAACAAACAATCTCATTGGTTCATCACTCAAAGTTCACGTGCAGAAGGAAATTGCGCCAAAACTCAAGTGAGCCACCTTTCGGAATTTCAGAGCTTATAAAAATAAACGATGACCGCCCCAGGCAGTCAGTAACAAACACCGACAGAGAACTTCCCAAAATACTCCACGTCATTCAAAATCACGATTTTCCCGCGCAAAGATACATCATCGCTGACTCATTCCCGATCGAAACTTAATCAACTCTGTGGATATCAATTTTCAACATTGCTTATCTAAAGTGAATCATATTCGCTACCTATTAAGTAAACATTAACGAACGAACGACCTTAAAAGAACATTACATTACAGTTAAAGGTAGATCACTCTTAAAAACTTTTTCTAAAAAAGACACTTAATATTGACAATTATTAATATCAACACAAACTTAAAAAGACTGTAAATGAACGAACAATTACAAAGAGAGACATTCTGAAATAAAAAAAAAAAACCTCATACACATTTCGCCAACATAACATATATCAATTATCCTGTTTGTATATTGCTTTGAATTGTATATAAATGTTGTATTAATTTCTAATTGAATATGTCTCGTTTTTAATCGTATTTTAAATTTCGTTTATTTATTTGTTGTGGATGCAGAAAGTCACGCAACCTACACAAATTCCTTCTGATTCTTTCGAGCATAATTAATAAATTCTGCACGTCCCCAACAACATAATCTATGATCGTGTGTTTTCGTAACTCATAAGGTAATGTGTAACAGTATGATTTAAAGGAGGATTGGAATAGCGTAAAACATTCCAGTAATTAAGCAAAGTATTAAGATATAGGAATATTCTAGTCAGATTTATTTAACCTTTACAGGAGGACGATTTAAAAAAAAATGTAGAAAATCTACCAGGATTTATTATCTGCGGACATAGTGTTAACTAAATAAGATACGCGGATAGCATTGTGATGAAAGGAAAACTATAATAACTGCTAGAGAAGGTTAAAAAGAAAGCGGGAAGAAAGGACTAACGCTTAAATATAAGAATACAGAAGGCACGATTGAGGGAAAATATGACAATGAGATTCGAAGTTTTATTAGTATTAATGAATAAAGACTTCCAGAAAATACGCGAAAAATTACGATATAGGAAAATTTCGTTAGAAGCAAGAGAACAAAAATGTGTAATAAACAAATATTTAACATCTATCTTATTGCATCTCAGTAAATGTCAGCCAATTTCCTTACAGATGAAGAAGAGACAGACATACAGTAGTACAGAAGGATGCTGAGAATGACATGTAAGGAATAATTTCTCAAGAAAATGGGAACTACAATGGCACTCTAAATTAAACTCTGAAAATTTTTTG